AATGGTAACTTGTTTATGCCAGCAGCAAAGAAGCCTGGTGAGCAAATGGGGATGAAATCTTAAAAGGCATTTTCCACAGCTTGTTGAGAATTGTATATTTTTCTTTGCAAGAAGTGGTTCAAAGATTGGAAGTGGTAGTCAGTTGGTGCATGGTCTGGTGAATATAGTGGATGACAGAGAGTTTCCAAGTCCGGCTTCTGTAGTTTTAGCAGAATCATTTATGCTACAAATAGTCTAGCACTGTCTTCTAAGAGGACTGTCTCTATTCACCAATCTCAGCTGCTTAAATGCAAGCAGCCTCCTCACTTCCTCCAATTGGATGTGGTTGACATCACTGTAATTGAATGACCAGGTCTCACGAAGCTATAGTGAATAATGTCAGCGCAGGACAACCAAATAGACACCTTTTAGTTTTTGTTTTTAATAAATATTCAGTTTTGGACTGTGTCTCTGCACTTCATGTTTATCCAATTATTGTGCCAAATGTTTACGATTGTCAAAAAGAATCCATTTTCATCACATGTAACAGTACAGTATAGAAATGGTTTGCCTTTAAGTCCTGACAGCAAAGAAAGGCAAGCTTTGAAATTATTTCCCTTCTGATGCTTGTTTAATTCATGTACAACATCTATCCAGCCTCTTTACCTTGCCAGTTTGTTTCAAATGGCCTAGTATTTTTACAGTAGTACCATCAAGAACCCTGCTGCCAATTCACATGGATTTGTTTCCATTCCATTCCATCATTCCAATGATGAGCTTTCAGTTCATCATTACCATCTTTGTCTGGGCTCACCTCATTTCAAGATTAAAATAATCGGCCAGGCGTGGTGGCTCAAGCCTGTTCTCCCAGCGCTGTGGGAGGCCAAGGCGGGTGGATGGCCTGAGCTCAGCCGAGTTCAAGACCAGCTGAAGACCAGCCTGAGGCAGAGTGAGCCAGAGGGAGACCCCATCTCTACAACAACAACATAAAAACAGCCAGACCTTGTGATCCCAGCTACATGGGGGGCAAGAGAACACTACAAGAGGAAAAAGAAAAAAAAAAAAAAATAACCACAACAGAACTTCTCAAACTACTGATGCCCCATGTGTTCATCAGCAACCTCCCTCCCAAACACTTTGCTGATATTTCGAGCTGTTTGCCTGTGTTACATTGGTTGCTCGATAGAGCTCATATTTGAAAATAACATAAATTTTTGATTTATCCATGGTTTCACAAAAATTTCTCTAAAAAAATTTTTGAGAGTGGTGCACCAGCCACATATACTGAGACTGGTGGGTTCAAGCCCAGTCCGGGCCTGCTAAACAACAATCACAATTCCAACCAAAAATAACTGGGCATTGTGGCAGGTGCCTGTAGTCCCACCTACTTGGGAGGCTGAGGCAAGAGAATCCCATAAGCCCAAGAGTTTGAGGTTGCCGTGAGCTGTGATGCCATAGCACTCTATTAAGGGCAACATAGTGAGACTCTGTCTCAAACATTTTTTTAAAAAAATTTTTTATTAGAGATAATCACACGCCAAAATAAGCATTTGAAGAAAAGGAGAATATACCTTCACAACAAAAATAAAGCAAAGTGTCAAAGTGAAATGTCAGATATATCAATTGTCACACTTAGTACTTAAGGAAATCAGACATTTCATAATTAATAAACTAATAGTTTGGGCTTTTCAGAGATTAGTACTTCAAATTGTTCCTTTATTTGGTACCATAGTGGTTTTCTGGTACTCTGAGAAAATCTTGCACCATAGCAAGATTAGAATGGGTAAAAAATAAACTTTTCTAAAGAGGAAGAATGGGGTGGTGCCTATGGCTCAGTGAGTAGGGCGCTGGCCCCATATACCGAGGGTGGCGGGTTCAAACCCAGCTCCAGCAGAAATGCAACAAAAAATAGCTGGCATTGTGGCAGGCACCTGTAGTCCCAGCTACTCGGGAGGCTGAGGCAAGAGAATCACCTAAGCCCAGGAGCTGGAGGTTACTGTGAGCAACTCCACAGCACTCTACCGAAGGCAAGAAAGTGAGACTCTGTCTTTAAACAAATAATAAAATAAAATAAAATAAAGAGGAAGAATGGCAATTGTGAAAGAGGATCTAAAAAGGAAAACCTGCAAAGCCCTACCTTGACTTCAGGCAACTCAGTTTTAGGAGGAAGTATATATTTAAGTAGAGAAATTTGGAAACCCAGACTTTGAAAACTACCAACACCTGTGAACCCAAAACTCAAGCTTTGCACAACTCAAGTGGTATGAATACCCTTGTTTGAAGGCCTTGATTTAAACCAGTGTTTTTCAACTTTTCTTACCTCATAGCAAACTTGAACCTATAAACTTCTGTGGCACACTTACATTAAGTTGATAAAAAATATATAAAAAAGAGTGCACTTAATGTGCTTTGAACTTCTTTCAGAAATAATTAATGATCCTTAAAAATTTTTATGGCACATCTAAGATCCTCTCACAGCAGACCAGTGCCATAGCACACTGGTTGAAAACCACTGATTAAAAGAATATTCTTTTTTTTTTTTTTTTTTGAGACAGAGCCTCAAGCTGTCCCCCTGGGTAGAGTGCCGTGGCATTACAGCTCACAGCAACCCAAGTAGCTGGGACCACAGGCGCTCGCAACAACGCCCGGCTATTTTTTGGTTGCAGCCGTCATTGTTGTTTGGCGGGTCCGGGCTGGGGATTCGAACCCGCCACCATAAGTGTACGTGGCTGGCGCCTTAGCCGGTTGAGCTATAGGCGCCGAGCCTAAAGAATATTCTTAAAGACTATTATACACAGTGTTAAATCAAAAGAGTTACTTCCATTTGGTAGTCTAAAACAAACACACTGACATAGAATTTTAGACATAAAGCAGAAATGGGAATAGAATTTTGTTTGGGGAAAACAAAAAAATTCAAGTCACTTGTAGGCCTTACGAAAAATTCCTTTGAATTAGTTACCTTCCTTTACCTAAACCAAGACTCAGTAATAATGATACACCCAAGCCAAGATTAATCACAAACTCATCGTATCATGTACACTGTTAACTTCCATCTGTCACTCCCAGATTCCCATTCTCGGCACTCCAGCCTTCCTCTTTGACACTGCGGGCACATCCCATCAGAAGCAGCAAAAATCATTTCAGTGTGAAGGCCCCCAAAGTTATCACAACCCCTCCAATAACTACACTGAAAGTACAGTTTCTTTTCTTATTTATTTTATTTTTTAGAGTCTCACTATGCTGCCCTTGGTAGAGTGCCACAGTGTTACAGCTCACAGCAACCTCAAACTCTTGGGCTTAAGCGATTCTTTTGCCTCAGCCTCCCAAGTAGCTAGGACTACAGGTGTCTGCCACAATGCCTGTATATTTTGTTGTTGTTGTTGTAGTTGTCATTGTTGTTTAGCAGACCCAGGCTGGCTTTGAATCTGCCAGTACGATGTAGATGGTTGGCTCCCTAACCACTGAGCTACGGGGGCTGAGCCTGAAAGTATAGTTCCACCCTAAAAAGATCTCCTATCTCAAGTGTTGTAGAAATGAACAACTTATAAAACTTCCCCACTTTGGATGGCACCTATAGCTCAGTGTATAGTAGGGCACTGGCCACAGACACCCAGGCTGGCAGGTTTGAGTCCCACCTAGGCCAGCTAGACAGCAATGACAACTGCAACAGAAAAATGGCCAGGCATTGTGGCAGGCACCTGTGGTCCCAGCTACTTTGGAGCCTGAGGCAAGAGAATCATTTGGGCCCAGGAGTTTGAGGTTGCTATAAGCTGTGACATCACGGCACTCAGCCTAGGGTGATACAATAAGACTCTGTCTCAAAAAAAAAAAGAAAAAATCAAATGATATGAAGGTTATCTTAACCAGTTCGATGAGAGTATTTCAAAATGTATATGAAAACAGCACACTGTACCCCCTGATTGCATTAATGTACACAGTTATGCTATAAGAAATAAAAAAATTTTAAAAATCAACTTTTCCACTTTGTGAAAATATAATTAGCAAGCAATAGTGTCATCACTTTTTTTTTTTTTTTTTTGAAACAGAGCCTCAAGCTGTCCCCCTGGGCAGAGTGCCGTGGCATTACAGCTCACAGCAACCTCCAGCTCCTGGGCTCAAGCGAGTCTCCTGCCTCCGCCTCCCAAGTAGCTGGGACCACAGGCGCCCGCCACAACGCCCAGCTATTTTTTGGTTGCAGCCGTCGTTGTTTGGCGGGTCCGGGCTGGGGATTCGAACCCGCCACCTTAGGTGTACGTGGCTGGCGCCTTAGCCGGTTGAGCTATAGGCGTCGAGCCGTGTCATCACTTTTAAAGCAAACTGAACCCAACTACCCAAGATCACAAAAATCACTGATAATGATTATGTAGATGGAGTAACTTTTTTCATTATACTGTTCTATATGACCAATTTAGGATTTCATGAATGTATTACACACCATCCTCTGGATCTACATGTTGGACTACGCTTTAATCATCAAGAGATAAGCCGAGATAAGCCAAGACAGACCCAGGTTTAATGAATTCCTCACTATATTACACTGTGACACATTGAGCTGATATACCAAATTGGTTTCATTTGAGTCACAACCTCAACTGCTACAGAAATCAGGAAGTAATCTAAATGTGGAAGCAGGCTGGGTCTAAGATAATACAGAATGATGAAAGCACATCTAGTTCTAAAGGCACTCAATTAGTTTAATACCACAAGCCAAATAAAAATATACCTCGGGCTGAATGTGGTCAACTCTTAATTACGATTAAAATTTTGCAACTCTGAGTGTTTGACTTCCAAAACAGATTCAACAGATTCAAATTCAATAAATGTTTACCAAGTACCCACTTGGTGGAAGGGACATATAATCATGAGACAACACCTAGTAAATGTTATGTTGACACAGCAAGTGTACTTGCATAAGGATGCCTCATTCTATTTTACATGACATTTCAAAGAGCTTCAAATTATATACAAACTACAGATCAAATTTATATCTCCGACTTTATCACATAAAAAAGAAAAACAAGTTTACTTCGAGTATAAAGATATTTCATTTCAATACTTTAATACGGAAGTCAGCTATCACACATATCCACCACCTCTCATATTTCATCGTCCTTATCTCAGGAGATATTCAAAGTGAGATTAATTAGATCACACACTCTCAGCACATCTACAACATGGAAATTTATCTCCAAATATAAGTCAGGTCTTTTAATAAGTTACTTCCTATTCATCGTTTTACAGTATTTATGAAATGAATTAGTGCAATACATCATTGAGGTATCATTTAAGAGGTGAATACCCTATAGATTTGGATTTGTCATCCCAATTCCTTGGCATTCAATAATGTAAGTGTCTTTAGAGCCATCTTCTTCATCTTCTGATTTCTTCACAGTAAATTTAGCCTGAAATCAGAAGAGTATGTAAAATGTGAGTAATATGAAGAAAGACAAAGGAAAGAGTCTAGCACCCCAGCCTAGGCAGGGAATTAATGTCAAATTCACTTTACTGAAAGCTACACAGACAAAAAAATCAAATGATTCATGAGAAATACAACAGTCTAGAGACAAAATATTTTGTTTTAGAACTATGGTTCTGGCTCGGCGCCTGTGGCTCAAGCAGCTAAGGCGCCAGCCACGTACACCTAAGGTGGCGGTTTCGAATCCCTAGCCTGGGCAGACAAACAACAATGATGGCTGCAACCAAAAAAAATGGCCGGGCGTTGTGGCGGGTGCCTGTAGTCCCAGTACTTGGGAGGCAGAGGCAGGAGACTCGCTTGAGCCCAGGAGTTGGAGGTTGCTGTGAGCTGTGATGCCATGGCACTCTACCCAGGGGGATAGCTTGAGGCTCCGTCTCAAAAAAAAAAAAAGAACTATGGTTCTTGTTCAAAAGTATATACATCTATAGAGTTTTATTAGAATATGCCTCCATACCCACTGAATTGGAAACCCCACGAATGTAGCCTGGGCAAGTATTAATTTTGAAATCTCAAACTGCTTATTATAATGTAGCTCCACAGCCTACTCCCTATTTTTCTAAAACATAGAACTAAAACATTTGTACTTTTATCTTGTCAAGTACCAAATTATCTTTTAATTTCCTAAATTCTCCTTGATAATTCCCTAAATATATTATTCAAAAAGACCTAGTTCAGGCTCAGTGCTAGTAGCACAGAGGTTATGGCACCAGCTGAACATCAATGACGACTACAACAAAAAAAATATCTGGGCACTGTGGCAGGCACCTGTAGTCCCAGCTGTTTGGGAGGCTGAGGCAAGAGAATCGCTTAAGCCCAAGAGTTAGAGATTGCTATGAGCTGGGACGTCACAGCACTCTACCGAGGGTGACATAGTGAGACTCTGTCTCAGAAAAAAAAAAAAAAAAAAAAGACCTAGTTTGGAGAAGGTAGGTGGGGAGGAGGGGTGGTGGTGATTAATATTTTCCTTCACCTTTATTAGATTTAACCTCACTTATTAACTAAAGTTGGCTTTGAAATACATGATCTCTATCTCCGTATTTTGGGAACATAATTATTCTGACAGCAAACATGATTTGTTTTAACAAAACTGAAATAAAATCAAAACAACTAATCAGGCACAGTGGCAAAACTGTTATAGCAGCTACCCAGGAGGCCAAGGCAGGAGGATCATTTGATTCCAGGAGTTTAAGACCAGCCTGGGTAACAGACTTAGTCTCAAAAAAAAAGGGTCCAAATCAGATCAACTATGTAGGTCGACAGAGTCTGTGGCAAGGGGATTTCAAGTACACCTAAAGTCTTAGAATTCTCTGAAATACAATTTGAAAACCATCACTCTGGGGCTTTCTTGAATAGTAATGTTGACAAATTCTTTCAGTTTCAGTATTATGTGACAGTACTGACACATAGTGGACATTTAAAATTATTGCTGAATGAATAAACACTGAATTCTGAGCTAGATAACCATCATATATATAGGTATATATGTATATTTTTCAAATTACAAGCACCTATAAATGCAAAGCACAAGTAGCAATTATGGAAATCATTTCTAGCCTATACACTGTATAAACCTAAGTGCAAATATCTAGAGCTAGAAGGAGCCTTAAGAAACTAGCTAAATGCTGGATGCAGTGGCTCATGTCTGTAAGCCCAGTACTCTGGGAGGCCAACTTGGGTGGATAGCTTGAGCTCAGGAATCTGAGATCAGACTGAACCTTCAATTTCCATCAGCCTTTTCCTACAATTTAACCAAAATCCATCCATACTTTCTAATAACCAAAAAACAGTATATATTATTAAGACTCCTACAAACAGGAGCAGGGCAACAGGGGCTTTGTGTCTTGCACACTCGTTATACTTAAATGTTTAAAATTAGTACCTTCCCTCATGAAATTCTGAGTCATAAGGTTTTTATTACTTTATAAAATTACATTATAAAATATAGCAAAATAGAAATATGCTACATGTTACTGAAAAAGTCAAGAAATTAAGCTGCAGGAGTCAACCGTGAGAAATGCAAATAGAAATAATTTAGGGGAAAGGAAAATACCTAAATGTCAACAGCAGTTTTACTGGCAAGGAGGAATTATAGGCAGGTTTTTCCCTCTATGTTCTAAATTTTCTATAAGAAATCATATTAGTTTCACGATAAAATATACTTATTGGCCGGGCACAGTGGCTCACGCCTGTAATCCTAACACTCTGGGAGGCTAAGGCAGGGACTACTTGAGCTCCTGCATTTGAGACCAGCCTGAGCAAAAGTGACATCCTATCTCTACTAAATATAGAAAAACTAAGGTAAAAGGATCACTTGAGTCCAAGAGTTGGAGACTGCTGTGAGCTATGATGCCATGGCACTTTATCCAGGGGCAACAGCTTGAGACTCTATCAAAAAAAAAAAAAAAAAACTAAATAAAAAATACATTATATATATATATTTATACTTATTGATCATATTCTAAAAATTAAGAATCTTATAGGAAAGGTATGAATACAAGCTGATACAATAAATCTTTCTATTAAAGATTAAAAACTATAAATCTACTCTTCTAATTTTCAGAGGACTGGTGAATATCAGAATTTCAGCCAATATTCTACCAACAGAATAAAGTGAAATATTTTAAATTTTACATAAATATTTATGTTTATAGCCAACTATGAATTTCTTGTGACTGGATAGCACAGTAAATAACAAAACATCCTTATTTACTCTGTAAGGCCGTACTACACAGGTTATAACACAGCCTGTAAAGTATGCTTTCCCAGGTTTGCTCAAAGCCCATCTCTACCACTAAAAAATTATGTGGCTTTTAACCAATTAATCTCTCTGCCGCTCTTTACTCTTATGATCACTATTAATTTTGCTATTCACTAAAATCTAACCCAAAATTTGCCACAATAAAAATCAATTACTCTTTCTGATGGAATACTCACCTTTGCTAGTTGTTCAGCAAAATGTATAGCTGTTTGTGTATGGAGTGTAACTGGTCCAGTTTTTATTCTGGAAACTCCATTGGCTAATGCCATGAAAATAATCAGCTATTTAAAAAAGAACAAATAAGAAAAATTTCACACAAATTTACTAACATTTGAAGTTAAAATACCACTGCTATCCATAATGAAAATACTACTAGAATCAAAATAGCTAACAAGAATTTTTCTATCTTTAAGTTTTCAGAAGTTCTTAAAAGATAACAGAAACCTGTGTTACCCCAAGTCTGTGATATGACCCAGAAATGCTTGGTTATGGTTCTCAACACAGAATTTTTTTTTTTTTTTTTTGAGACAGAGTCTCACTATGTCAACCTCGGTAGAGTGCCGTAGTGTCACAGCTCACAGCAACCTCTAACTCTTAGGCTTAAACAATTCTCTTGCCTCAGCCTCCCAAGTAGCTGCGACTACAGGGACCCACCACAACACCGGGCAATTTTTTTGTTGCAATTGTCATTGTTGTTTAGCTGCCCCAGGCTGGGTTCGAACCTGCCAGCCTTAGTGTATGTGGCAGGCGCCCTCCCCACTGAACTATGGGCACTGCCTCGACATCAAATTTTTATTTATTTATTTATTTATTTTAGAGACAAAGTCTTACTTTGTTGCCCTCAGTAGAGCGCCATGGCATTAGAGCTCACAGCAACCTCTACCTCTTGAACTTAAGTGATTCTCTTGCCTCAGCCTCTCGAGAAGCTGGGACTACAGGCACCCGCCACAACACCTGGCTATTTTTTTATTGCAGTTTGGCCAAGGCCAGGTTCAAACCCGCCATCCTTGGTATATGGGGCTGGTGCCCTACTCACTAAGCCACAGGCACCGCCCACAGAATTTTTAAAGTTAATATTTATTAATACAAATAAAATATGGAGTTGAAAGCTATCATACATAACTTTTACATGTTATGTATCTGTACTTTATACTACACATGTATTTTTATATACACACATATATAATACATAATTAGAGCAACTATTCCTACAAGCTGGTATATTTAATGACAAGTTATTCCACTCTCTTTTGACAAAATCACATTTTGTCAAAATTACATTTTAACAGGTAAATAGACTAATACAAAATTACTAGGAGTGCAAAGGAGATCTGGGCAAGAAGGAAGAGACTAGAAATAACAGAACGAATCTTTTTTTTTTTTTTTTGAGACAGAGCCTCAAGCTGTCCCTCTGGGTAGAGTGCTATGGCATCACAGCTCACAGCAACCTCCAACTCCTGGGCTCAAGCGAATCTTCTGCCTCCACCTCCCAAGTAGCTGGGACCACAGGTGCCCACCACAACGCCTGGCTATTTTTTTTGGTTGCAGCCATCATTGTTGTTTGGCGGGCCTGGGCTGGATTTGAACCCGCCACCTTAGATGTATGTGGCTGGCACCTTAGCCACTTGAGCCACAGGCACCAAGCCAACAGAACCTATCTTAAGAAACTGGCCAACAAAACCGGGAGAATACATTTCTAAATGCAGAGACTGTGCTGACTTGAGAGATTAAGGAGAGAAAAGAATGGTAGAATGGAAAATCTATAAAAGTATAGACTATAAAAAAGATCTTATTTGGAATAATACATCAGCAATTCTCAATGTGAGTGAATGTGTCAAGTTTGAGAGGTCTATGACACATCTATGTGGAGATGCTGATAGGCATAGGGGATGAAATAGCTGAGGAGTTCAGGAAAAAGGCCTGGGCTAGAGATACAAATTTGGGAATTGTCAGCATACAGATGGTAATTAAGCCATGAGACTGGACAAAATAACTGAGGGACTGGCTGTAGATAAAGAAAGGCATGAGCCTGAGCCTAGGAGTTCATCAAATGTAGAAGTTGAGAAGGTGAAAATAACAATAAACTCGCAAAGCAGAATAGAAAGTATGGCCAATAAAATAGGAAAGTAACAGTATTTTAGAAATCAAGTGAATAAAGTATTTCAAGAAGGAATGAGAGATTAAATGCTATAGATAAGTAGGATAAAGACTAAAATTTTGTGAATATAAATTACAAAATAATTTTAAAAATGACTGAAGTAGGACTTGATAATCAGTGGCTGAAAGTCAACTATTAAAATTGATATTCCATCTAATTATCATACATCTAAATCTATAAGATTTTTATCCTAAAGTGATATTACCTGATCTTGCAGATACTCATCCACGGTCCCACCATGTCTAAGATTTGCTAGTAGCATTTCAGCAGCTTCAATTCCAACCTTGTCTGCATTTACACCTTAAAAGATAAGCATAATATTAAAAAAAACTTCTTACTAAGTTTTAAATTATTACTAAGAAAAAAAAAATTCAATTGATAAATCCCAGTTAGCAATGGTAAACGTTTTTTAAACTTCTGAAGCGTAATACATCTTTCAGAATAGATGTTTAAGTTATTTAATCTTCTGTGAGCCTTGCATTTACAAATACTTTAGATCTTTAAAAGCACTAATGTAGGAAAATATAGGCTGCTTTGGCCCTGTTACAAACATGCTAATTATAATGCCAGAGTATCTTGCCCTCTAATGCTATATCCCAATTTCAAAATTTAAAACTCGTGATTTATACATGTTACAGTTAGTCTGCAGGCAATTCTATCAAAATTAGGATTTTTTTTTAAGTCAGAAAATTGTTTATCTATAGGAGAGCATACATACAACATTTTCAGATCAAGTAAGTCAGTGTTTTATTCCCTTTAAGAGTTGAACCGGTATTATCTTATTTTGAATATAAGTCAGAATACTCACCCCCTTGCCCTACTTCCTGCCTCTGCACATATAACCAAATCTTTGGCACAAGACTGAATAGCAAACAGTCTATTAGACAGAGTGAAATGTCACAGCATTCTTTTAAGGTATCCACTCTAAAAAATCCTTGTTTACAAATAAAAAGGTTTTTGTTTTTATTTTTGTTTGAGGCAGGGTCTTGCTCTGTTGCCTCAGCTTGAGTATAGTGGCATCATCATAACCCACTGCAATCTCAAACTCCTGGGCTTGAGCAATCCTCCTGGCTCAGCCTTCTGAGTAGCTGCGATTACAGACACACCACCACACCTGGCTAATTTTTCAATTTTTTTTTTTTTTTTTTGTAGAGACAGGGTCTTGTTCTTGCTCAGGTTAGCTTTGAACTCCTGACCAATCCTCCTGCCTTGGCCTCCCAAAGCACTAGGTGTGAGTCACATACCCAGCAAAGATGTCTTCAAAATAATGAGAATGTGCTTAATTTTGCTTCTACTTCATATTTGCAAATGTATCTAATTATATATGTATCTTATAAAATTTTCCAAAAAGTGGACATTTCAGAATTTTAACCATTAATATTTTTCCTTATAGCAGTTATAATATAGTGCAATAAATTTATACTCTTATGTTCTTACATCACCACCAATTGACCAAGTATTTGCATGCCTGGATAAAGGGTTTGGAATATGTGGTTTGCATCTTGACTTCTTGGGTAATCTCCTTAGCCTCTAACATTTCTTCTAGATGGAGATGACGATGCTAAGCACATTGCAAAGTTGTTATAGAAATTAGAGATAATATTTTTATAATGCATCCATTAACAAGACCAATACATAAAAAGTTATTAATACTAACACAGATTAAGTATCCCTTATCTGAAATGCTTGGGACCAGAAGTGTTTCAGACTCTGGAGTTTTTTGGACTTTGGAATATTTGCATATCCATATTGTAATCAAATACCTTGGTGATAGGACCCAAGTTTAAACATGAAATTCATTTTTTGTTTGTTTTTTATTTTTGAGAGTCTCACTTTGTCGCCCTTGGTAGAGTGCCCTTACATCACAGCTCACAGCAACCTCAAACTCTTGGGCTTAAGCAAGTCTCTTTCCTCTTTCCCAAGTAGCTGGGACCACAGGCGCTTGCCATCATGCCCAGCTATTTTTAGAGACAGGGTCTCACTCTGGCTCAGGCTGGTCTTCAACCCATGAGCTCAGGTAATCCACCTACCTCGGCCTCCCAAAGTACTAGGATTATAGGCATAAGCAAAAAACCAGCCCCCTTTCTGCTTTATATATACCTTATATAGGTAATCTGAAGGTAAGTTCATAAAATATTTTAAATAATTTTGCACCTAAGACAAAGTTTATGTTAAATTTTTTTTTTTTTTTGAGACAGAGTCTCAAGCTATTGCCCTGGGTAGAGTACTGTGGCGTCACAGCTCACAGCAACCTCAAACTCTTGGGCTTAAGTGATTCTCTTGCCTCAGCCTCCCAAACAGCTGGGACTACAGGCGCCCATTCACATTCTTCCCTTCCCCCTTAATAGTGAACAGTGGTATGAATGGATCTATGCGATTATCAGCCATTACTAGCAGTCTGTGGCAATTGAACAGAATGAAGAAAGTATGAGAATTTTGCTTATTAGTATTATGCCCCCCC